ACCAGCATACCACTTTATTCATTACAAGTGGAAAAGCTTGTTATTTAGGAGGTTTTAATAAATAGATACAATGCTTACTAACTAAAGCTTCAGAGCACACTAAAAACACAAAGAAATGTGATTGTTAAATGTGACAGTATGAACACATTTTTACAAGAAACCCAGAAATCTTCGCATACATTCAATTTTCAATGGCTTATAGTGAAATCAGTCCCTAAACAAACTGTGAGAGCCTTTTACTTCTTTCCCAACACTGCTGCCTCTCCATTATCTACTTTATTACACAAGTACTCATGCTCCAGTTGGTCTCTAAATAAATCATCCTCCCACAAGAGAAACTAGTTCCATTCTTAAATTATGAAATTTAGATCAATTTTCTGGTGCTTTAAATCAATGTAACTGATGGGCCAATTTCAAATCAATTTGATGCATGTAATTTACAATAAGCATGCACATCCTTCCTCTGAAAGGCTAACAAATGAATTTTTCAATGACCTCACCATGATTACCATAGGAATGTAAACACTCAGCTGTAACATTAAAAAAATTAAAATTAAAATTAAAAAAAAAAAAAGAGGAATAAAAAAAAACAACACACCTTCATCCCCAAAGCCCCCTGAAACTGAGGGGAACTCCTACCCACAAGGAGAGCATAAAAGGTAAAAGTAGTGCTCTTCACTATGGTGATCCAAATACACCATCAGGCCCTTTCTCATCCACAGAAGTAGGTCATTTTTTCATGCTTTGTCCACTGACAGTTTGATACATCTCCATACTTTTCCCAGAAGTTTAAGAATATGATTGATAACTTTTTGTTCTTTCTCAGTGAAATACAACAATACTCACCAGAAATTCAACCTTAATGGTAACTTTAAGATATGGCAGACATGCAAAACAAACAAATCTACTACATGGTGAGGAATGAAGTATGTTGAAAAAGCTTGAAGTCCTATACACTAGAGCGTATATCACTCTATACTGAATCTGAGTGATCTGTTATCACTCTGTAACTGAATCAGCCTTCAGTTCCAAACCCCCTATGTCTAACTTAAAAACAAGACACAAAAGAAAACCCAAACAGGTTGGGATTCCACAAGTAGAGGAAATTTGAAGTTCAATGCAAAAGCAAACAAAACTAAATTAAAAAAGAAATAGAAGTTAAAGTTAACTAAACAAATAGAAAATAAAAACAAAACCTCAGAGAAGACACCAGATGCATCATCTACCAACAACTCCTTTCCTGCTGTTAAAACACACGTTGCTTTCTGCTATATGTCAGGAGCTCTGAGGGCTGCAGTTCCCTACTGCTTGTTTTACTCAGAGCTTGGGTGGTACCTACACAGAGCTGCTGCATTTCTTTCTTTGCTACTCCTATCAACATTTTTGTCATGTTTCAAACTTTGTTTTACTTAACTGATTTTGGAAGCAGCAATTACTTTGACATCTAAGTAGTGTGGGTTAAGTTAAAAATACAAATGACAGAAAAAATGCAGCAATATTTAAGTCCATATAAAAACAGTTGTGCTATTGCTGTCACGGCATGAGCCTGAAATCTCCATTACATGTGCTGTTTTTAAACATATGTTCTGCAAAGGTCACCTTTTTCAGTAGCTTTAATGATAGGCAGCCTTGCTCTCCAAGTATTAAAGTCAGTAAAACATCACTAAATTGCAAAAATGCAAAATATGAAACAACATAAGAATACATGGGATATTTGAATCAAAGCAGACTCCTGTCCATAACTGCAGGCAGAAATGATCCAGGCCACAGAATGAACTGCATAGATCAAACTCCCCAAGAATAACTTACCATTTACATTAATCTGAACTGCATCCTATATAGGACCAAAAGCCACAAAACATCACGCTTGCCACAGAGTATAGGCTAAAACGATCGGTGTTGATCAATGATCAACAAAAAATGGTAGAGAAAGAAGTATTAACAATGCCTAATGTTCCTGCAGTATTAAGAGGGATGACCATTAGATGACCCGAGGTCCCAAACACACAAGAAAGCCAAAACCAAACCAGAACTGCACTCAGAGTTCTCATCTATTTCACTTCTCCAGATTTTAGTTATGAAGAGCAAATTTTTTGTTCAATCTTAACTATGAAAATATCCCTAAATTAACAAACAAGCATTCCTAGCAGCTAGCACATGCATTCCAGTCCAGTCCCGATTTTTTTTTCTTATCTTTAAATCCTACATCAGTGGTTATTCTTTTCCAAGAACACAGTGTTCATGTCTCCACTTGTTTATTCTTCAGAGAAGATAAAAGCGTCCTACATACATTAACCACTATGAGTTTAGAAGCAGCAGTCTCATACTTGAAAGGTTTCATAATGCCATCAGAACTACCCAGACAGCTCGATTGAGAGCGAATTGCCCCAAGAAGTCCTAGATCTGAAAAAAAAATTTCAAGCTCATAGACACAGAGATAATGATAGAGCCAAGCAATCAACTGTGTTTAGGAGTAGCTGTGCACATTGTACATATATTTCAGGGCAACTGTCAGACTAGCTCTTGCCTACTCCCATAGCCCACATTCATTAGTTAGCATACCTAAGGAGCATGCCCTCTTTTTAGATTCACCCAGGAAGAATTCAGCCCATGTACTCTGGCTACAACAGGAAGGCAAGTGCAAAAGCAGGGACAGTCCAAAGCAACAATTTGAAAGTAGAAGAAATCCAAAGTAGACACTAAAATAAATGCACCCACAGAAAACACTAGCTGCCTGCCCAGACAGCATCCATATTAACTGAGTGTCTTTTCCTCAAAGGCTACCTTCCTGAAAGCACAGCAGGATTATATTTAACATCTGCCTTTCCAAATACTATCCCTACATGTAAATCCAATGAGTAAGTGTAATTAATTTCATTTACATATTAACACCAACTGGCTTGGATAACCTACAGTCTAGTCTACTTAAAACAAGAACAAAACAAAAAAGCAATTTACATGAACAGGGCCAATACCAGTGCTGTATTAACCACATGTATTATGGGAGCATTCTAACTCAGACAACTACAGGACTTACTCTGTCCTCCCAAAAACAGGCATAAAGTGGCCATTCCACTGCAAAGTAAGGCAGAGGAGATAAGGCCACAGCAGACCCCCCAGGGTCCATGACCTGGGGTAAATGACTTGCACTCTCCCAGCACCAGAAGGGGTTAGGCTAACCGCAGTCTGTATCCTTTAAGGGCAAGCCTACACAGCCTCATTCCAAACCTGCATTTGCATGATGAAAGAGCAGGAAGAAAAAGCAAGTCCAGAAAATGTAAGCTTATTTGTGTTTTGAGAAACTGAAACACTGAGCACAATTTGTAAAGTAGTATATACACCCCTCAGGCTAAGAGAAATTTGCATATCAACATATATTATGCTAAAAATAGCAGTTTTAAATTGTTTAGATATACACAGAATACTTACTTGCAAACATTTCTTCTCTAGATAAACACCCGTTTGAAGTCTGCACTTAATACGATCAAATGTTCTTCATTAGGATCAAAGTTCATCCAATTCAACAAAGTTGTTTTAAATAATGCCAAGTATTCAGAGAGAAGTCATGATGTAATATGAGAAATTTACATACTGTGTTCCCTCTCATTGTGGCTTTGGGTTTTTAATGCGAAATTTAACATCTGCATATGCTTTCCCCTGCCCCAGTTTATTAAGGACTTAACAAGGAAAAATAATTTGTTTCATAATTGTCAGGATACTGCTTGCAGGATTTTCATTCCTTCACCCAACCAGCTTGCCAAATCCAGCATGCCTCATTTTAGATCAGTTTGCCTGTCTGAAGCTCCCAGATTGGTTTAATATTGGCTTGCTTCTCTTTAATACTAAAAACAAAACAAAAAAAACACACATGCAAAAATCAGAGAAGCAGTATTAACGGTCATGGTTTTTGCTCTCCTTAAAATGAATCTTTTAAGCATTGCCCCTCTTCAAAGAGAGCAAATTTGAATAGTACCCCAAGACACAAGGGAGAGCAAAGAGGTAATGTGTGACACTAATGACTAACACTGAATTCAAATGGTTTATAAAGGCTAAAGTAAAATGAAAGCTGGAAAAGTGGGAGAAGGGGCTTCTAATACTCAGAGAAGATTCATGCATCTACACTAAAATACTGGGCCCAAATACATAAGGCCCAGCCTGATGACAAAGACCAAAGAATCTGGATGCTCTGAAAAAGTATATGTCAGTATCTGTTTTATGAAATTTATCACAATTACTGTACAGTATAATTTTTTAAAAAGACATATGTTACTACTACATCTTGGTTGTGGAACACCCTATCTGCATTCACAATCACACTGACTAAAACATGAGTTTGTGATGTGTTACCTCATTACAGTCAGTAAATGAATCTCTAGTAATAGCATTTAAGTGAGACAGACCTATGACACACTGAACAGAAGACTTCCATGAGGGAACATATCTAGGATTTCATGCTCCTTCAAGTAAGCGATAATTCTGCTTAGCTATCACACACAAGCCGGAAGGCCTAGTAGCGGTCACAAAATGAAGTGTAATCACCCTTTCACGCAGATCAATAACCCAGACAAAAACAAAACAAAACAAAAAAACAACACTGAAAAACCAAGGTGTATCTAGAATCGTGTACCTACCTATAGTGATTCACAGATTTCTCATTACTGAAACTTCTTTGAATTTATAATTCATTTTTTTAATCTATAGTGTAACACAAAGAGTTTGAGAAGCATCTACATACAGATGAAGGTCAGCTTTCTCCTCCTGTTCAATTAGAGATTACTTCAATAGTGGCCATGTAAAAAGATGTGAAATGAAACAAAGTACGATCAATAAAATTATTTATCAACCTTAATTGGTAACTCACACACACGGTACTGTCCAACAAGCAGTCCAAAGAAGGCCTCCCACTGCCAATTACCACAACACAGGTTCTTGCAGATACCTGATCTTGTAGATAATCTCACTTGGTCCCAGGAAAAATGGACGCAATGAAGGACATAAAGTTGTCATGTTTCTTTTTAATTTCTAAAATGTTACCTTGAGACATTCAAAAGACATAGAAATAAAATTTATCAGAGTAAAAAGGGTCATCCAGCTTCCTTTGCTGTGCTTTTACATGTGGTGTGAAGTTACGTTAACATTAGTTAAGATTTTCATTTCATTTAGTTTTATGCATTTTAGGTACTTTTGAATATTTAATACACTTAAGTTAATTATCTTTAATCAACTTAAGTGCAGAGTGGAAAATTCGGTAAAAAGTATCTGTACCTACCCACTTGGTTATATTGACTGGGAAGAACTACCACATTCTATTAAAAATTATAAACATTTCTAACAGCTGTAATGCAGGAAAGGGAGTACTAACAAATGAGTTTTTCAGACAGATTAGCAACCTTCATCTTCCCAGTTGTCTGTGCCACAGGAGTGGATCCTTTCCTCTGTAACTTTCTGAGATTGGGCCTTTGACATACTTGGCCTCATATTTATGATTTCTTTTCAACTTCTACCGCTCATAACGTATCTACACATATATTGAACCCTATAGACTATTTCCAGTAAGTACATCCTAATGCTCTTCTTAGGTTCAGTGTATGTGTTGTTTGGTTTTGTTTGTTTGTTGTTGTTGTGTTTGTTTTTTTCCTTCCTTCCCTCTCTGAGGTCTCTCTAAAAACCAACTCCAATTCCTCTGGACATATCAAAGCATATGAAAGAAAAAGGGGGAGAGGGAAAGCAAGCAGACAAAACAATCTTTTTTTAAACCATCCTCTTGGAAAACTGGAACACATTTTCAATTGTTCATAGCATATTCTAAGAAAAATTTCAGATTTTTCTAAAGCCATTTTAACTCACAAGTCTCTAGACTATCAAACTGCAATCTTTAAAAGAAGGCGCACCTTTTCAAGTAGTTATTTACTTCTCAAAATGCAAATTTCTAAGAAGAATTCATTTTCTACCCCTCAAAAAACATGAAGGGCTTTCAAAAGCTGATTTACCTTCTCATTTATACAAGGTAATGCAGTATATTTGCATAAAGCAGTCAAAACTTTATTTTTTTAACGTAATAAGTAGCTAACTATGTAACCCCTGCCGTTTTAAAAGACAGTCCTCTTGTTAGTAAAGCGTTCAAAGTGACAATTTCAGTAACTCAGCATCTCTTTCTGGATAATTAGACGTTTTATGAATATGCAGATTTCACAGAGCTGATTGGCTCAAATAGATCCCATTCCTCGAGAACATCACGATCCATAAAAAAATGCTTTCACCCAAACTTGCATTACACATTGATCTGCAAAGGTCAAATACAGGTCACACCAGACAGAAGTACCCCTGCCCAACGTTTGTGCAGATATAGGTTACGATGACTATTTTTCCATTGGTACCGTGACCTGTATACACAGGATTTTCCTTGTAGCAGATCTTTACAAAAACCTTTGGGGAGTACATGGGTGGAGATTTCACGCCATCCACATTACCACAGCATGCAAGTTAAATAACATAACAATAGCACCATCCAGTGGCAGTATCTTTCCTTTTAAAATTTCACCATTTACTTCCGTGATCCTAGTGGAGCAAATGTGAAACAAATAAGCAGGGCATTTGTTCTTCTAAATACACTTCTTAGAGCAGCTCACATCCCAAGAATATAGGTAACTAGGTGGGAAATGCAAGGGCAGTATTAGCAAACAGCCTGAAAAGAGCAGCTGCACATAGAAGTAATGGTACAAAAACAACACGGAACTTCAAAAATCAAATACAAGATCCTGCTCCTTGCAACATTTTCAAGATCCATAATATAAATTTGTTCCAGTGCTCTAATCCTTCTCATATATTCACTGAAGTTTAAAATCTTTTTTCACCTGAACTAGGAGCATAAGCATCAGCTTTGTCTTGCATTTCAAAATAATGAAGAAAATAATTCAGTGTCTTCTCAGTATAAATTTTTATTTTTAAAATCTCTGTATATTATAGGCCTGTTCCTCTTTTTTTTTTTTTTTCTTTTCTTCCTTATTCCTGTCTTTCAGTTCAGTTTCTCCCTCCTGCCCATTTGGTTATGTCCTATTTCCTTAGAGAAGTGATTATTTCATATTTTCAAGTACCGAAGTGGTGACCTCATGGTAAGCAGCAGTGGCAGAGCCAAAAAAATCTCATTAATGAAAATAAAATGAAAAAAAGGCTGCTGTACAGGAATTGTCGTCTACAATAACCAATATGCCAGGAATAGGGAAAGAAATAACTGGTTTTAAAGATGTTTGCAGAGTGTTTTTCTCAGCATAGAGAAAAAACAATAACTAAAGTCATACTATTTAAAAGTTCAATGTCCAACCACTGACACAGGCGCAACCTTCCAATTTAGGAAAAGGTCCCATAAATTATAGCAACCATTCACAAGTGCATTTGGACAACTAGGATGGCATGTCTTCATTGTGAAGTTTGATGTTTAACGTGCTAGAAAGCTTTAAGAAAGCTATTTCAGAATACTCCCATAGCTGCAGCTAGGATTACAGTCCAACAAGATTAGTTTTGTTTTGAAATCAGAAATCCATGCAGAATTCTGTCAACAGAGGTAAACGGTAGGCTTATTCACTGTTGCATATAGACATTTCACTGTTGCTGAATGCTAGTAACAGTAGCTTAAGATAAATAACTTTTTTCAAGTAGGTGATAAGTGAATTTAGAAGCAAATGATCATAGCCCATCTCAGCTTTCACCAAAATCGTAACGTAACTTGTCACTACAGTTTAAAAGGACAGGCAACTACAGTAGTTAATACTACCTCATTTAAATACTCACTTTCAATTTACAGCACTCAACACATTTCTGCACTAATACTTAATTTCCCAAAGTAGTTTTTTCAGTAAAGTGGAAGACTATGAGCCTATCTTTGATAGGCCAGTGTGAGACCTGCACACATCTTACATCCATAATAAATCTAGGACAAGCAAAAAATGTGTCTATTCAGTTTTGTTTGCTTCTACATCAGGAATTAACAACTGAAATGAACTAATATCCTTGTATTCCTGTGCTCTGTGCTGCCACTCCTTAAGAGCTCTGTTGTTTCCCCCCTCCCAGCCAGAGCCAGCTACATCCAAGAGACGAGACCAGGCCAGGATGCAGGAGCAGGGTGCCGAAGATGCTGAACTGGCACAGGGAGTTCATCTCTGCCACCTCCCACATGCTCCTGCACCAGCTTGAATAATTTCTATTGGTTTCAGCTGCTCAGCAGAGACACTGGCATCTGCAGCTGCAACTGCACCAGCTGACTCATGTGACCAGAAGGTAGGGCTGGATCCCTCGCAGCAGCTGCGCTCCATCTGCGATCACTGGGCTGGGGACAGGAGCAGCAGTCTGTGTCAGTTGCTGTTTCCGCCGCCTGTAAAGCAAGGTCATCCGATTGTACAGCCAGCACAGTACTAGGGCTGGAGACCCTGCTCAGAATAAGCAGATGGCTCCGTGGTCAAGGCATGCAGCTTCTGATTCTGCAGCAAGTTTCCCATGCAATTTGCAGCCAGCTACGTTCCCTGTTTGCTTTGGCCACAAATCCATAAAATTACAATCTTATCTAACAGAAAGCTGCGAGAACAAATCAATTTTAAATGTCTGAGACGCCTATATACAACGATTACTGAGCTGTGTAAGTATGTAGATCAGTAGATGAGATATTTCCTGGCAGATCTGCAAAGTTATTCATGATCAGTAAGAAAAATCAGCTTTACGCTAAAACACACTCATCTCCTTACAAATGTAAAGACACATATCCATACTGGGCATATATACTTATACTGCTAAGTCAAGTCTCCTAGATATTCTGATTAGGTCAGACTCTAAGCAATATTTTCCATCATACTAAAAAAAAAAAACGAACAGCTCAGGTCTCCGTATTTTCCTCCCATAGCAGGCTGTTCTGCCTGGTCTGTGTTATTGCCTGTAGGGGTGGAGAGGTGCACAGAACCTCACTCTAGCAAATACAGAACCGCAGCCTTTGCACATGGATTTTTCCTGCCAGTCCTACACTGCTTTGTCTTCTCAGTTGAAAACCCTTTTCATTTTTTTCCCATCCCACCCCTATCCACCCTGTAACCTATCCAACTCCCTCTCCACTCTTCTTTCTGCACTGTTTACTTTTGGGCATTAGTTCTGTGTTTTATCCTGCAAGCCAGCCTCGTTCTTCAATTTATCCAACTCCCTCTTTGCTGTTTTTTCTCCACTGTTTAGCTTACTGAACTAAGCTCTCCACCACTTCATGTACTTAGAGCAGATTTGGTGCAAAGGCAAACTTTTGTAAAGTAACCAAACAGCCAGATTTTGTAACATTATTGCTCGTAACAGGAAGGATCAGAAATAAAGCCTACTTGTAAGTACAAAGAACTGCTCTTCATAAATAAATGATGTACACCTTTGATCACTCCAAATTTGAAAATGGTGATGACAAACTGCCTTCAACTCATGATCTCCGGCTTACCAGGAGGCAATGAAGAACAATTCACTCCCCCAAAACACCATAAATTTGCAGCCATTCCTAAAGAGCAATTCTGAACTCCCCAAAGTCACATTAGAATTGTGAGTCCAAGAAACACGTCTGGGAATTAAACACGCAATGTTATTTTGTTGGCGGTTTATATAACATATTCAGAGGACTTCAGAGAGTCTGCTATCTGAACAGGTTCAACTATCTATTTCTCCTATGTTCATTCAGAAAAAAAACAGTAAGTCAACCAATACTTGAATGCAGGTTAGTTAGTAAAACAGTTATTCTTAAAACAAAATAAGTAAACCTTAAACATTTGAAGTAATAGATGCCGTAAGTATTAAGTTTTTGTTAGTCTTTTTCATAATTAGTATGAATGTTAATACTAGGCAATTTCTAGTTTTAAGTCACAGCAACCAGCACTTGCAAAGAGATAGAAAAATTGAAATTTAAAGAATAATATTTATGGTTGCAATACCACTTCTCAGAATACTGTATTCTCTCAGCTTTGAGTTTAATCTGTTTTAATTTGATGCCTTAGGAATTCCACACTACATATGGTTAAGGCCACAGCTGGAAGACTGCATCCCATTTTTGGTAACACTTCATGAAGTACCTACAACTGGAGGGAGGCCAGAAGAACGCGGTGAAATTGAGAAGTTGAGATGATGTGAGCTGCAGGAAGAGACATAGTGTGCAATCTCCAGTCTACAGAGAAGGAGAAAAGACCAGACTTGAGAGCATGAAAATAAAGAGGAAGGGAATAAGCTGTTCTGTGTCACGCAGAATCATGGAACAGAGTTATAATCAGAAAAGACTAAAACCTATATCTAGTGGTGGGGAAAGGGAGCTTTTTAGTAGAAACAAAGTGGCACACCAATACAGTGTACTAAGATTGCAACATCTCCACATGACATGTTTTATATTTCCATCAAAGACCTTTAGAGAAGGCTAGACAAACATCTACCAGGAATAGCAAAGATACATCTCTGGCTGGATTAGGGGGAACAAAACTAAATGATCTCTTGAGGTCTCCTTCTGAAGTTCTATGAAAGGAAAGGCAATTAATGGACAGCTACTAAATTATGTTCGCAAAAGCCATTTCAACTGCTCTGATAGACGATCGCTTGCTTTAAAATAGCAGAAGCCACTATCCTGAGCACTAATTGGTACTCTAGGGGTTAAGCTTAGCCCAGAAAAGACTGAATGGACACAGACATCTATTTTTTCAGTCACGAGTAAAACTGCACAGGTTATTATATTTTTTATTCAGAGAGCTTACATCTGTAAGTGAGGTTACTTTTCAAGATAAATTAGTAAAGAGAGATGCTGTATTAACAGCTTTGAAAACTGAAAATTTGATGTGATTGTGCTTTCAAAAAACCCACAATGTGTAATAAGCAGGATGTTGGTTGAATTTCACTTGTGACAATTCATTCCAAAATAGTTTCAGTGGAAAAAAATAATACGGAAACTGAAATCCCAGCACAGGAGAAACAGATACCATGCTATTCACTGAACAGCACATGAAGTTCTGAGAACAATGGGACTACACCACAATAGATCTCGTTATCTGACTACTTAGGAAAAATGACAACTACGTCTCTTATGAAGAAGCAATAAATTTCATAGTTTGTGCATTTAAACAGAACACATACATACACTCTCTAGTGCACACAGGTGCCATCAAGCAGTACATTATATTTTTAAAATTCAGAGTTCAGAAAAGCTTGAAGCTATTCAAAAATCAGCTACCAAATGAAAGATGTTGGCACTTTAAACTTCAGTTATAGCATATATAGCCTAGCATTCTGTTACAGTAGGGTGTTTTCCTCTTCCCCAAAAAATTAAAGTGCAAAAATACTAAAGCTTAAATTATCCACTTAGTCTGAGGACTAACCAAACTATGAATGTCGTGACCCTTTTGCATTGGCCAGCTTTTCAATAATCTCATTATCTTGCTTTTTGACAATCACATTAGCAACCTATGTAAGTGATCTGAAAGCACATCATGCCAGAAAGACAAAACTACACAAGTTTTGTGAACTTGTGTTACATTAAACTATCATTCTGGGTTTTGTAACCCTACTATGTTATTGTATTACTTATAATGGAGAATCTGAACACTAAATATGTTTGTGATCTGTGTTACAAACACAAGACACAATCTGCCTGGTATACTCAGGTGTATCTGTTATCTCAGGCTCAAATTGCAGATTTCTTTTGCATATGATATGGAACACAACGTAAATTTCTTATTTTTGCTGTTTTCATTAGTCTCTACAAAAGTAGTAAGCCTCCCCATCCCAAACTTAAGTCTTCCTAAGAAAGACTTAGTAATTAAGACAATGGTGCACTGCCAAGTACTTAAAAATGGTTAAAAGAATTAGACATTTTGCATCTTTTATTGTATTTTCATTTAATCACCATAAAACTAGCTGTTGTATAATGCACCACCTTGTGGCAAAGCCAGTACTAACACAACCATTTCAACAGCTTTGCCTTTTTTTTTCTCCATTTAAATCTGTGCAAAACCATATTTTGAAGATGTCAGTAGTTTTTCTGAAGATTCTCCTCCACACACAGTGCATTTATGAAACTGATTTAATTTCATAAAATGCTCAAGTAGGTTATGCAACAAATGCAACGTGTAAGTGCTATGGTAAAAAGAACAGGAGGAAAAAAACATGTTTAATTAAAATCTCATTCTCTCCAGATACTTCAAGCTGCATGATAAGCTGCAAGAGCTGCATAGATGAATTACATTAATGGCACAAAATCATCCCACAGAAAATCTTTATTTACATTGTCTTTGTAAGAGATACTAAAACAGATGGTATTTTTCCAAGCTAGTAAACTGACCAATTGGACATTTCTAAATTTAAAAAACATCTCAAGCTTAGCACTACACTGCGTACCACAACATTATCCTCTCCAGACAGGTTTGTGTCCAGTTCTAAATTCTGCACTTGCAGCATACTATCAAAGATGCAGAAGCTGTTCCTGCTATCTTAACTAATGCATAGTCATCCCAAAATATTTTGCAAGCTCTGCATCGTAAGATAGCATCTTATTGTAATGCACTCCAATCTCTATCCAATAGAACGCAAAGTGAAAGAAATATACAGCACAAAATGAAGAACTAGTCTGCATATATCAAACTGGGTCTTCTAATATGTCATTGCTGTTTGCGCATACCTGGACTTAGTATAAAATAAAGTTAACACCATTTGCAGTTTTGTTTTGTTTTGTTTTTTTTCCCCACACTGTTTTTGAGTTTATGTAGAATAAGAGAGATGTCAAGTGAAGCAGGTAGGGAAAAACCCTCATTTTTCTGAATGCCACCCCTCACTGGCTGCCCAAACTGCAGTTATGGAAATATGAACCCCAAGAGGACAACAGGGTACAACTATTTCTTGCTGTTTGTGAAGCCTTTGCTATGAACACTCCATGAGTGGCAAGTTGAAATCCTTTACAGGAGTTGAGAATACTCGAACCTTACATATCCGGGCATTCAGTTTAATGGTGGGGGTTATCTGCTAGCCTGTGCTTGACAGTAATTTCAGGTATATGCAAGCAAAAGAAAACAATTTACGACACTTGCAATTTTTGCATCTTAAATGGAAGCAAATGTAAAGTGTGTCTCCAACAAAAGGAAAAAGCATTTATGCTCTAATTTAAATTTGGTATGTGGAAATTTCATGCAGAATTGGCTGTTACCAATTATTTCATAAGGTGATTTGTATAGCACAAATTTGCATTGGTGCCACATTCAGCAAAATTGGGCAGGCAGAAAAGGGAATGGAAAAGAAGATGGAACAATCTGTAGCAGAAGTTTTGTAGCTAGCCACAAATGATTCTTTCTGTATATGTTAATCATGCCTTAAAATACACCACAGAAATAATAAAACAATTCTAGAGAAATCAAACTGCAATTTAAAGCAATTGCTACAGAGGGAGCCAACAACCCAAAGAATAGGATTAACAAAATGCAGTCCAGATTAGTACAAAGTTCTCCAATCAGTCTTTCATTACACTTGCACGTTTTTTGAATATCCACAGAACAAATAAGTTTTTCAAATATGTAAGCTCAAATAAGTACCAGGCATTTAATGCAAGCTTCGTCTTTGTGCTTGATGACATAGAACAATAAGCATCAACATGCAACAGTATTTATATTTGCTATGGCAATTACAGAGACTGATGATTCTAAATTGCTATTTATCCATTAAAGGGACAGTATTGAAGTTTCCATTTTTAGCAATTCTAAAGATTTTGTGTTTGCTTGTTTGTTTTTAAAAATATATCAATTCAACAGTAGAAACTTTTATTGAAATTTATGTTGAAACCACAACAGCAAGAAACAGGCTGGTATGGTAGCTTGATCTAAACAAAAAAGGTCAAAATCTAAAATTAAGTTTGGTAAAGATGGGAAGTGGGGGGCGCATTATTTCATTCCCAAATCTTTTCTTCTTTTTTTAATACATACTATGTATTAAAATGCATATTTTAATACATAGTATGTATTAAAAAAGTACATTAAAAAGAGTACAATCTACTGAAAAGTAACTGTAAATGACGTATATTACATAAAGTAACTCAACAGCTTTGACAGATGCCTGTGACAGGTTCATACATTACCCCAACCACGCAAATCATCTATGCTGTCAGCATATGTTGAGGAGGTTGACAAAAGATTTAAAGCTCAGTATTTCTGATATTTTAGTTCTTCTCCCTCTCTTCCCCCCAGAATTTTTACCCTCTTTTATTTTTTCAAGGGAAAAAAGGATGGATAAAACAAAAGTAATTTAGGGAGACTACATACCAACTGGACAGCAAATCCTAAAAGCTACATATAGGGGAAGATCTTGAGAATGTCACTGAAGATAAGATAAGCTACACCCTCTAGTGGCACAAAATACTGTAGCTTTTGGGTGGCTCCAACAGCATGAATCAGACAGCTGCTCCCCTTTGGGTCCCCAGCACCCACATCTCTGTCACTGCATGTCAAACATCAGTGAGGCATGGCTGCATAGCAAATGGGTTTGGGGTTAAGTTCATTAGCTTTTGCTCTTAATTGTCATGATAGATACATGGTAATCTCTAAATGTAAACAAACTCCACTACAACATACCAACAAACCAATCCTTTCCACATCCTCCATCTAATTTACGTAGGCTCCTTCTAAACCTCTTCTGTCAATTTCTCTCCTCTTTCCCAAGGCACTCTGAAATACCCAAACAAACCTCCTGCATGTCCAAGACTTAGCCTTCCAATACCCACTTCCCTCAATTATACTTTGGCTAAGCAAAATCAGAAAAAAACTCACTAACAACAAACAAAAAAAGATGATAAGGATCAGTCAAAACTCCGTTACCCATCAGGCTGTTCAGGCTCAAGAGTCCCTTTCTCCCTTGCTATGTTTTGCTATGAAAAAGTATTCATATAGCAAGCGTGCCACCAAGAACCAAGTACAAAAATAAATTCCTCTTGGCCAACTTGCATCAGAGCAACATCTCTGTCTTCCCTTCTGACTGCAACACATCAAACAGCTGACAGAAGAGAAAGAAAGATTGTGTTTTATTTTATTCCCCTTTCTCATTTGGTGATCTTTATCTCTGTAAAAAGATAAGTTATGAAAGCAAAGCTAATTGTGGAGTGCAAAACAAGTCCCACATTTCCTTCTTTCCCCTTGAACTAACTTCCAAAAAAAAAAAAAAGTAGTGTTCAGTCATGGCTAAAATCATTTAAACAATATATCATATAAATCATATAACCAGCAGCCAAAGCAATATTAAACTAAGCATCATGGAGCACTGCTTACAGACTCGGTGCTATCACTAAACTCCACACAGCACTTACAAGAGACTTTGACGTCTCATAATAAGTATACTTTAGTTGCCTATTCACATTACCAAGTTCAAAACAAAATATAGACCACCCTTGCCAACTAATGCCAATGAAAATGGGCTCTGTATTTCTAGTCAGATTGGGGATTTGGAAAACAAATAGAAAAAAAATCTATTTAATATCAAGACAAGATAACAAGCTACATCCCATCACTTGCTGCAGTTAGCTTCAATTTATTCTCTTTGAAAACTTTTGATGTGGAACCACAGTCAAAAGAAATTAAAAAAAATCAGCTGAAACAACAAACGCACACAAGTCAACATGACCTTCAGTTGAAGTCATTGAGTCCAACTCTGAGAATTAAAAATAGGAGCAACTCTTGTAAGGACTATACAAAGGGTTAAGAAAAGCATTTCCATTTCTCTCAGAGTCTTTATTTATTTATTGTTCTCAGAGGGAGAAAAGTATGCAACATTAAGGTCCCACCAACCATATTAAGTCCAAGTTTCCTCAGCAACCTTACAAGATGGAATTATTTTTTTTTCCCCTCAGAGTTAAGTGGGTGTAGTTGTTTTGTGGGATGTTGTAAACATCACATGGACATCTCTTCACCCACACAAACTGAAGGTATTACTATTTCCCCTGTCTGCTATTCTCACTGCAGATGACCAACATCACAGATGAGCCAGTGAAAACAAAGATGATGGCTCACTTGATTTACTACAAAAGTCAACATGTTTGGCTTGCTCATCAGTTAAGATGTTTTGAACTAATCTTCTAATTTTATAACAAAACTGGCTGAAGAGCCTCTACGCGTTCCGTTCCCTGGCTGAGCCACAGGACAGTGACCTCCACCTCGTGTGCATTCAGAGCTGACAGGGGGGCAGCAGAACAGTTTAGACAATTCCAGCTGGACTCCAAAAATAACGTATATGCATCTATTTGTAACTTCAGCGCTACCAAATTCCTATCAGATACAAAAAAAAAAAATACACTAAAATACACTAATGAAAACAAACGGTCATTTTACATGGCCGTTGCAGTACAAGTGAATTAGAAGCAGGAAAAAAAAAAAAAAAAAGTGATCTTTCATACCTTAGCTCTTAAAATAGAAGTTTAGTATGATGCCTGTAAACCAACTCCACTCTCTCTTAGTGGCTGTACGTACCTCTCTAGATAGCTAAGATTCAAGGACAACAGGATCAAGCCAATTCAAGCTGTAACTGGCCCAATTATCTCTGGAGGTACGACACTAATTTTTGGAAAAAAATTACTTTTTCATCAGGAACAGCAACACAGAAGTGCAGAAGTGACTGCTAAGAAACTGAAGGACATCTGATGGTCAGAAAATCACGGTTCTATTAGGTGAATGCCAAAGAATTCTTCTTTACTAGGTAAGTCAATATAAAAGTTGTTGATATTTCAAAGACTTGAAGTTAAAATATTTCAAGCAGAGGGATTTGGGCACTGAAAAAAAATACAGAGTCTAAGCAACTCCTCTTTACACTGACTTTTAAAGCATTAGGACAGATTCAGAACACCTTAGTAAAAGGGCACAGAACTGAAGAATAAGTCTATAAATAAATCAGCAACAATTACCCTGATGGTACTTTAACTTGCACCACTCCCTACAACTGGGATTTCTTTTAAATAAAAAACATCTATCTAAATATCAGGAAAGGGTAATTAAGTAGCTAATGACTCATCTGTAAGTCAAATCAGACAACTGAAGGACTGCAAGTGCTCTGAGGTCCAACCTTCTTTAACCTGTTCCGTACCATATGGCTAACACAGTCCGGGCAGAACAGCACACAGCAATTTGGAGAAGTCCTAAAGGTCTGTCCTGACACAAGGTGACACTGACCTACCAGGGTTTTTCCCCGGTTAAGTATCCAACCACACAGAAGATGCCAAGGTCAATGGCAAAAGCCCGTTCCAACTCCTTCATTATAACCAACAGTACATAGATCCTCTCAGGAGCTACTGGAGTGATAACAATGAAAAGCTCAAGAAAGGATCTGTTGCAGCAGATTCACACAGAACTGTAGTTTTATTGAGTTTGCTTTTTAATTAACTCCATTTAAGAAGTGAACATGCTTTAAAGATATCAGTAGGCAATATGCAATTAAGTAACATGCAACATACTTAGAGAGATCAGACAGGATTTCAGTATGTTTAAACTACTTCAAATGAAATACCGCACATCAAAACATTGTTTAATCAGTATCTGTTGCGCAAATAAAACTTGCGTACACAGTACAACTTGTACTGTCCAAAACACAGACCTGCATGTCATTTAACTTCTGCCTAGCCCCTGAACTTGCTAGTACTTTCGGTACTTCCAGTTGGTATAGTTTTTAAACGGTCTAGCATATTTAATCATAATTATGCTCTATTACCAATGCTCTATTATCAATGTTCTACATAAAACCAATCTTATCTACTGATCAAAGGCAACTGCTGTTGCTTGTCTTTTGCCTGGAGCTCTGGCCATTTTAATGTCACAGGTACATTACCATGATGTATAAATATAAGTTAAATGTCTTGTTCCATCTGCAGAAAGAACATGGAAATTTTATTTGGCTAGTAATTCAATCACTAATGCTTTTAGCACACACTTATTTTTTTCCCAAAGGAATTAAATGTTAATTACCAGAAGACATTTTTACTGTTTGGTAACTATGACCTTACTGAGAAATATTAAAACTTTTAAGATGGAAAAATCTGACAGCAATAAATACTAATTCCTCTCAAACAGCTACCTCATCTTACATATGGATAAACTACTTAAGAGTTTTTTGGGAGTATTACGAAATAATATAATACTGGTAATGTAATAACAGAAAAAGACAATTAGGTGCAAGGGCTGGAAGTTTAAAAAATTTGTTTCTTGTATCTAAGCATAAAGATGCACACAAAAGGGAACAAATCCCCTACTATCTTGATGCTAAGGGCAGAAACATGTAAGTGAATCCTGAATTGCTATATTTTATTTGGATATATGACTTCTCTGTAATGACTATAAGAGTGTTTTTAAGAGGCCCTGAATAAATAAAATAATGTTGATAAGTAAAGCGTTTTCTACCATCTTTCATACAAACGATCTTCAAAAAAGCAGTTATATAATACGGACTTGAGGGATGGCAGAGAGAGCATTGAAATAGAAAGTTCTTCAGAGCATTCACTCTTCACTGAGCGAATGAGGCAAGAATATTGGACTGCATGCACTAAGCATAGCTCGTCAGCCAGTGGTAGTAACATGCAGATATTAAAAACATCAGTAATAGGAATGACAACTACTTCACATTATTTTTCTTAAAGTTCTTCATAATTTAACTAAACTCTGAAATACAAATATTACAATATTAACCTTACATAACCTGTATGCTTAAATGTACAAATGAGCAGGAATGTTCCAACTGGGCCATCTTTTGTTTAGTGATTACTTTTAATATAGTGACTGAGATTAAACAAATCAGTTATTAAATAAAGCATGTCAAGCTCTAACAAGTCTCCCTTCCCTTTCAAAACATGTATATAGTTCACAAGTCAGTAACTTCAAGAACTTCAGTATATGTTTTAAAACTTACCGTAACTGGGAAAAAGAAACAAGAGTTGACAAAATCCAGGCTCAGAATCCATCTTTCCCTGTCTATATATCACCTAGACTATAACTAGATGCAATGTGTACTGGTACAAAATAGTTTTCAAAATAAATGTCCACATACTTAAGACACAGAATGCAGTATCTGCTTCCAACTCAGATGTAGAGCTTCTATATTTTAATGATTATTGTGTCAAAAAAAAAAAAAGAAGGGTTATTATGCCTGAACATGAGAGATTACTTAAAACTGTAATAAATCTGAACTTCTACCTTCTTTGGTTTGGGCACCTCTTTAATGAGGGATAAAAATCAATAAAAATATTGTTATTAAAATGTTTCATTAAGCTACCAATGGCCACTCTCCTACAAGACAAAAGAATGATCCATTCAAAAACAAATCTATTTTTTTTCCTCAAGGAACAATAATTTTAGGCTACAAAAATCAGATTAGCCGAAACAGGCAATCAGTACAATCGAAGTTAGGTTTCAATACGACTGACAGGGCTCTGGTGACTCTTCACTATGTTACAAACCACAGCCAGACTGTGCTGATAATTTGCAAAGGTGGGGATGGCCATAACATCACACAGCCAGGCAAATTTAAATAGTAAGTCAACACTGAACCTGAAAAAAGTCTTCCATCCAATTTCTGCTAAGCAAATATTTATTTCACTTATACACGGATATACTGCAGGAAGTCAGTAACTGTTAGTGTAACCAGTTCTATAAAAAAGACATTGACTAGGATGAACAGTACAAAATTTAAGTTGTGTGTATATGAACTGCAGTTAAGAACAGAATTATTCAAGAATGAATTGACTGTGGTTTTTTTTTGTTTGTTTGTTTCTTGCTTTTTAGAAACTCAATGCATTTCTAGACAAATATTATAATTTGCAGTAGACTGAAGCATGGAAGCTACTTCTGAAAACAAAAGATTTCTGTTTCAGGTCTTTAATAACAAGGTATGTGATAAACAGAAAAGTAAATACGTATAACAGGCATGTATATCACTATAAAAGGCTTACAGTTCTTTGTGCTTCTCCTCTGCCAGAATTTGGTCATTTGGCTTCAGCCCATACCTTGAAAATAAGAAACAAAGAACAATTATTCACTTGAAAACTTAGCTATAAAACGTAGCTTTAAAATAGCAAATTATCATACTATGTGATATTTAATGATTCATACAACTCTGATACTGCAAGAACAAAGTTTTCTAAAGAAAGCTTTAGATGTTTCTTAAAGTAAATTTATTATCACTCAGAAGTTTTGTTTTTATCCCAGCTTCAGATAAGACCAGACACTTGGACTGACTACATATCAAAAGATCATTGCACTTCATATCGAAACTATCCACTGATCTCAAAATTTCAATCTGGCAGAACACGTTTCTGAGGATTACAGGCAACATAAACACTAAAACTAGCTGCAATGTTCTCCTCTGAAGTAAATCAAAGTATTATATCAATACCTAAAACATTTTGTAGTTAAAAGAAATATGTACACACAAATATATTTTAACAGGCTATTTATGAGGAAAATTTCTGCAGTCCACTTAGGAAACCTCTGATGAAAAGGAGAGCAGGAGAGAAGGAAGCCTCCTTTGCTAGCTTGAGCTAGCAGGCAGTTTCAGAGGACGGGCTGCCTGCACTGTCAATCCAAAGAAGAAGAGAAGCTGGCCTCCCCAGCACGGACCACTGCTAGTCCTGCTGCAGGCTGTCAGTCACTTTGAAAAACCTTTAAAAAGTGACCTTGCTTGTGCTGCGTCTCAGAAAAAAAGTCTTTTGCCCTCTCAAAATATTCCACAGATCTAACTACAGTGTGGGGCTGCCCCCATATATAATGGATATAATGGAAGCAGCTAAAAGTAAAGAATGATTTTGATAATTCTGCAAACAGTAACTGCTCATGCTTTAGAATAAAGGAACTCTTCATCGCCGCTGTGTCTCTGCTTTTGTTCCATTCTGCCATCAAGTGCAGAGCTACACATTACTCCTTCCGAGCAAAGATTCTGGCCACTAACTACAAGCAAGCTATCTCGCATATCAATTGTTGTTTGAGATAAACAGATAAAATTTTCTTTATATCATTTTCTGATTATATTCTCTGAAACTTCTGTGTGTGTGCTTTTTTTCCAGAATTGATTGGAAATGCAAGCATCAACCCCTGACACATTCTCAAGCTCACCAGTGCCGCATTCAAACATAGAAGACACCAACAACCTGACCCATTTTTTCCTGTTTACATACCCAGACACTGCCTTTGGTTATTTCCCAGAGCATCCTGCTGACTTGCATCCATTTATCCACCTTGCTACTCAACCCTTCATGCAGTCCCTTCTAACCAGGGTACAGAGGAGCCCCTCCACATTTGCCTTCTAAATGCAGTGTTTGCATTTGACTCAAAGCAGACTACACAATGCGCTGTCCAGTAACAGATGCAGGCCACCTGCTTTAACTGCTGTATCTTCTTTACAATTTACCACTCTTCCACTCCTTAAGCCACAAATTTTGAACTGTTGTGACCTTACAGATCAATGTTTTCCTTAGTGAATAGTGTTAGACCCTTTTCCTTTAATGGCGGAGGTCTGGCCCAATGCTTCATAACACTACTGCACCCTTCTGAAGATCTCTTCTTGTCATGCCTTAAGCATTTTATTGATAGCAGATAGTAATACATCAGAGAAGAAGACGACAGCTCTCATGACATTCCAAAGGAACATCTGTCAGAAGTCCAAGGACTAACTTCTGCAGCCCGCAGCCTTAAAATGCAATCAGGTTGTTTGGCAAAAGGATTGACCTGCCACAGACAGCCATGCCTGACTGACTACTTACTTGCTTTGTTAAGCAAGCTACAGCAGAAGCCTGTACAGCAGAGGGGAACGCTGCTGAACAGGTGTGGGGCTTGATCTGGGGTACCATAAAAATGGTACCATAAAAATGTCCCTTTTTTGTTTGTTTCTCCAATATTCCTTCTTGCTTCCTGAAGATACTGTTTTGATGGCAGCAACACGTCAGGGAGTTTCCCACAAAATGGGCATGCTTGTAGAAGTCACACTTTCATAAGTACTTTCTGCATTAAGACAAGATGCATATTATATTTCATACACAGCTGAAGTATTTAATAAATGTAAGCGTGCAACTAGCACAGTGAACAGCTTACATAATGTTTGCCAACATGTGTTTCGTAGGCAAGATTGATAAGTACCAGTTGGCTTTTCCTAACTGATGAAGGTTAGATTTGGAAGAATTTCTCTCCCCCAGATTTCTAAAAAAAATTTTAAGAGTCGAGACAAAAATGCAAAATTGAGGTTAAAGATACGTAATCTGAACATTTTAAATAACTTAGGACATTTTAAACTATTTAAGCAACTGAAACAACACACTGCAAATGTATTCCACATTTACAGTTCTACTATTAAACTAGAAACAGAAGCAAATATGCTTCAGAAGTGGGCAAAGGAGCTGAAGGGACCACAACTTGAAATCTCACTGGGCAGAAAACAGAGGAAACTTAAGCTTAATACATCCTAGCATATTAAATACTGATTATTAATTTTGACTATCCAATACCAATTTAAGAAAAGTTCAAACCACTAATAGTTTCTTCATCGCTGCTCATAAGACTATTTCAAAATAATAAGAATCTGTAAGGTTCTATAGAAAGATTGCAGGTAAATGTCAAAACAAACTCAAGTACATTTCAAAAATGATATTTTAAAGCGCTTCCTGATGTCCTTCAGGGACATTTAATCTACTGAAAGAATAGGCAACCTTCCAGCCACCCGTGCCCAGATGGCAGCTGCACGCAGGCATGCCGAGGGGCAGGCAGAGCCCCCCAGCACAGCGCTATCGCCCCGCACAGCTGCAAGCTTCCACCAAGCCAGCTCAGCTGCCTGGCCAGATACACACAGCCCACCCTGTGCACCCTGCAAGCAACTATTCCAGGCAGTCCGACAGGCTGCTGGCTTTACCTTGGGTGAAGCCTCCACTTTAGGAAGCATTAGTTTTGTCCCCCTACTTGGTTCCTTATGGAATTTCTTACGCTCCACCATAGTCTCTCCAGCACACCCCATTCTGACCAAAGCTCAAGGAACGCATTTGCAACCATAGGCTCTCAGGTCACTGTTTTATCATCCATCCTCTAGCCTCAGTTTAAACGAGGAGTTTCACAGCCCCTTACATGACCTTCTTCTGGTTTGGAGCTATTATTCTTCTGTACTTTAAATGGCATTCTTTCTAACCTGGTTACAAAGAGGCACGTTCAGCCACCGAAATTACCAGGAGAAGTGTGCAAGCTAACCCCCCTAAATTCCATCCAGAAACCCCGAACCAACTCCAACTGAGTCTCTGGAAAAGCATCTCTCTGCCTTCAGTGGGGAGTAATGACAGAGGACGTCCACACCAGCCTGCTGAACAAGGTGATCCAAATACCTCCCGTTAGGCCGTAATTCCGTCACTCCAGACTATTAATAAACCAGAGATGCATTTCAATGAAAGAAGCTTGAATTTATTGGAATTTAGTTATGAAGTATGTTCTCACCTTCCCAAACTGGCTTTCCCAAATCTCTCAATCTTTCTTCTCCCATTTGTTTACAGTTATTCAGATGGGAACTTAGTGATATTTCCTCACTTCCTACATTTCACATTTCTAGAGCCAAGTTTAATGTATGTGCACAGATATATACATAACAATATCAAAATTATCCCCCACCCCCAAACAATACTACATTAATCTTAAATATTTTCTCTTTCAATGAGCCTGAAAATAAAGTAGCACAGGCAAAGACTAAAAGATTATTACAGACACTGAGGACAGACATTGTATGGAGGCAGGAATAACATTAAGGAAATACTGGAGGTACATATAGTTAAATATACTCTATAAAAACGCTAAGGACACTTAGAAGAGTTTTATGTATGTAACAGCTAGATATACAACTCTGGCCAAGAGTTGGTTATGGTGCTACCAAAAGGAAAAACAAAAATCAAAACTATGAAGCATACATATTTTTCACTCATTTCTACTCTTGTAAGATAATGACTTTCCCAGCACTTACATACAAAATTATCATCTCCAGTTTTTACAGAGATATAATTTAATGAAATGTCTTGTCTTTTTTTTTTTTTAAAAAAAAAAAAAAGCACACTAGAACCTGTGAGCTCAGCTCTGACTTGTTCAATGCACTTTAAAAATCCTTCTGAAACAGCAATCCTATGACTCACTTTTTTTTTTTTTATTATTATTTCTCCTAATATGACAGGTATGGAAACTAATGCCCATGAACTTTAGTCAGCATTTTTGCAAAAAAACTCTTAATTTAACAAACAGCTGTAAGGCATGTTCCCCTTCATACAGCATTCAATTTTACAAAGCCTTAATCAAATTAAAAAGAAAAAAAAGCATACGCTAAACATGTACAGGTGAAAAACTTCAAGTGAATATCAAGTTCAAATCTGCTCTATGTACCAGACTTTCCTGAAAGGCTGGTAAAACTCACCTGTCCTAAGGCAAAAACTTAAGACTGGTGATGATTAAACAGGTTTTAAAAGTGACAATATAACATCCTTGCTTCAAAATTCACTTCCCTTTCGAAATTTCTTCTGACTTGAATCCATCAGCCAGGAAAAAAAAAAAAAAAAAAAAGAATAGCTGAAAATTGCAGAGTTCAAAATAAAAAATCAGCATGGATATACACTGCTGCTTGGGCCAGAAGAGTCGAGTAAAGAACTCCACCATACAGACTAGCCAGAAACAAGGAAGTACACAAAACTTATACATCCATACACACACACATATCCAAGTAATATATTCATGAATACTTTCACGAATACTTGTGAAGGAACAAGAAGCTAGAGATAAAAGGATTTTTTTTTTTTTTTGCATTACCTGTCAATGTGAGTAGCCAGCATGAAAAAATATGGAAGCTATTTGAGTAACACAAAAGCAGTAAGGCATTCTAGGAAGCTCTGAACATAAACATCTGTGCAGTTGTTCCTTTGCCTTGTTCGACGAACAATAAACATGAACCTTGCCACCATCCATGGCTCTGACTATCCTGGCTCCCCTTTCAATGATCCAA